TCGGGCTGCGGGGAGCCCCACAGTCCGCTTCGCGCTCTCCGGATCCGGGGGCCTCCGCTTCCCCCTGAGCCGCCGGTGAAGCAGCAACAGGTGAAGCCGATGCCGTCCTCGTCTCCCTATTCAGGTGAAGAGAGCAGGACTCGCGGAGACCAAGCCGCTGGCCTTGGTGACACAGCCAGAGCGGGCCGAGCCAGGACGCACAGCCAGCCAGGTGCGCGACGCCCGAGTCCCTCCTTATCCCATCTCACCCTACCGGCTTCCAGGGCAACCGTAAGAAAGGAGACCGGTAACAGGTAGTGCTGGATACCCCAGGAAGAGGCTGAGAGGTGGGAGCGCCAGGGCAGCAAATCCCTCACCTGGAAATACGTGAAGCAGCCACTTCTTAGGGTGACAGAGAGGACTGAGAATGATGGCTGGGGCCTGGGAAAGTCCAGGACAGAGAGGGAAGTCCTCTCCAGGAAGCGCCAACCTTGACCCAGGAGGCACTTCCCTGGGTGCAGGGGCTCTTGCAGGCTTAGCCACGTGACCTTGCCTCCCTCTGCCTCAGTTTCCTTATCTGTCCCATGGGGCCCTGTGTGGCACCTACCTCAGTGAGGAAAGTGAAATCCTCGCTTAGCCCCTCTGCCCTGACGCCCACCCTCCAGAAGACCTGTCCCCGGTCCCTTAAACCTCAGGATGTGGGGTGCTCTCAGTGCAGGGGCTTCTGCACAGGCTCACTAGAAACTCAGAGCCGCTGAGTGAGCCCAAGGGGAGGGGTAGCAATTTCTCCCCTTGTTTCCCCCAGGAGAAAGGCTGGTGTCCAGGGTTTTGAAAATCTTAGGACTGCAACTTGCACAATTCCAGAACTGCTCTGCTACCCGCAAGCCCGGCCCTGACACTGGTTTAGCAAGAAGGGGAAGCCCAGAGAGTTGATGTCCCCAAGCCTCCATTCCTGACCGCTATAGCCTACAACTTTGGAGGTATCGTCCCCAGCCCCTGGCCAGCAGCAAGTTTACCTCTGTCCTGAATCTGGCCACTGTGTTCCCACTCTGACCCCCAAATCCAGGCCACCTTCATCCTGGCCTTCCCATGGTGCCCCTGCTGCACCCCAACCCCCAAATTTTCAGCATGGCTCCCATGCTCTTTCAGATTCTCTCCACCACTCCTGTAGCAACAGCCCCCTGGTTCTTCTAGCCCTTTGCACTCTCAGGGCCCATATGCTCTCCCTTCCTTTTCCTGGGAACGCACTTTCCTATGATCTTCTGTGACTTGGCACTTGAAATCCAGGTGTTTCTGCAGAAGCCCGCCCACCCCACTCAGGAACTCTCTGGGGCTTTTCTCCGTTCTCCTCCATGCTTAGACCTGGATGATAGGATCTCCCTTCTGTGCTCCTTGTCTTTCTGTTTGTCTTCCCAGCTGAATCAGCCCACTGAGGTCCTGGCCTTTTTCCTTTCATCATGGAGTCCCCAGAACTCAGCACCTGCATCTAGTAAAGAGTTAGGTAATTGTGTGCATTTGCAAGCGGACCAAACCATCTGAGTTCTGTGTTTCTCCCTTGTTGCTTAACAGCATTTCTTTCTACATCTCCATGAGACCTCAGCACTGTTGTCTCTTCTAACAGCTGTCTGCCTTCTTTAGCACTTCCCTAAAGTGGGACTTTTCTAGGTTTTAACACAACATCCTACTTAGCTGTAAACAGTTTCCCTTATGTTTTTTTTTTTTTTTTTTTTTTTTTGCTATCAAGTGATTTCTTTGAAATGCTTCTACAGTGGAGTGTTCAAGTACAGGGTGTGCTAACTTGGAAGGCAATTGCCACTTGTTACAGATGTCTATTTAGAATAATCACCTCCCAGTCCATGTGTGTAAGTTTCCCCACAGTCCTGCAAGCATTGGGTTTTATCATTTTTATTTGTTTTGGCTAATTCAGTGGGGGAAGCAGGGGAGGTTAAAATTCACTGCTGCTTGAGAGGATAAAGCTGGCTGTTTTCCTAGTTTTCCTGCATGTGCTAGTTTTGTTTCCTGGCTTATAAAAGAAGCTAAACTCTGCTGGCTGCAGAAGCTGCTCTGTCAACTAGCAAGAAACCTGCCAGTCCTGAGTACCCTCTGTGGAACCACAGGGGGACAGGGGGAGAGAAAAACTTTTTTTTTTTTTTGAATTTTTGAATATTTTTTTCAGCATGGTAATTTTATTTTATAAATTGTAAAAATAACTCAAGATGTGAGAGTAACCGTGTAGAGTTACTCACTGGAGCATCCAGGCAGGAAATGACAGGGAAACCCTTGAATGTCCATGGCAACCCTGAAACAGGTTGCTCGAGGGGACACCTGGGCACCATCCCAGGAAGTGTCCTTGACCTAGGACACAGGACCCAGACCCATCCTCTGGCTGCTGAACGAGTGACCATGATCTTGGTGGCTTGAAACAGTGCACATTTATTACCTCCCATTTCTGGGAGGCAAAAGCCTCAGTCTCAGTGCTCCAAAGTGAGCTGCTGCCAGGGCTGCCCTGCTTGCAGAGGCTGCAGGGGGATCTGCTCAGCTGCTCACCATTGCCAGCTCTCGAGGTGCCCCAGTTGCTTTCATCCGCCCCTTCTTCCATCTTCAAGGCCAGCAGCAGAGGCATCTTCAGTCTCTCTCTGCTGCCAGCTCTGCTTCTCTCTTCTCATTTCCCAGGTCTCTGCCTCCATTCATAAAGAACCTTCTGGCTGGGTGTGGTGGTGTGCGCCTGTAATCCCAGCTACTTAGGTGGCTGAGGCAGGAGGACTACAAGTTTGAGGCCAGCCTGGGTGATTTGGTGAGACCCTGTCTCAAAATTTGAAAAAATTCAAAAAGGCTGGTGATGTAACTAACACCAGCACTTGTTCATTGTACATAAGGCCCTGGGGTTGATTCCTCAGCACTGTAAAAAATAAACCAAAACTGTCTCTGATTACAGTGAGTCTACCTATTTATCTGCTCCCTACCATCTAAGGGTCCTTTAGGGGAAATTATTCTGCCTACCAGCCCCTAAAGGAAGTAAGCAAGGTTCAGAGCAGTGTGGGCTCCTATTTGTTCAAGAAAAAAAAAAATGAAAGGGGAGTGAGAGTATATATGTGTGTGCTTGTGAAGGCACAGAATACCCCAGAAGGCTACATGGGGTACTGGCAGGAGCAGCTGCTGCTGGGAAGGGCCTGTCTTGTCATAGTACATCTTTTTGTATTATTTAAATTTTTTTTACTACATGCAAATGTCACTTATGTTAAAAATAATTTTGAAAAGTAACACATAGTCATTGTAGAAGTTCAGAAGCGAAAAGAAAGTGGCTGCCCAACTCCCATGCCCAAATTACTCCCTTTCCTCCTAAAAGATAATGACTGTAAAGAGTTTGGCTGTCCTTACAGAATTAACATTTTTGATAGCAGCATTTTTTAACATCGATGGGTCACCCAGCACACATGCACTGTAATGGGGTTTTTGTTACTGTCCTATATCCATATATGAAGACTGGGCAGCACTAGTCTCCCCCTGCTTTGGTGTCCAGCAGATCCCATGGATGAGCATTTAGATGGCTTCCTGCCTTTCAGAGCAGCCCCAGTGCCGTACAGCAGTGTCTGGCTGGCTGGCTGTCTGTCTGTCTGAAAATTGCAGTGAAATTCACAGAGCGTAAAACGAGTCACTTGAAAGTTTTTAATTCAGTAGTGCTTCAGATCTTCCCAGTTCTGAGCAGCCCTCAAGCTGTGACCCATATCTAGCTCCACAACATCTTCATTGCCCCAAAAGGAAACCCGTTAAGCAGCCACTCCTTGCTCTGCTCTGGCCCCGCTCAGTCTGCTGCCTTCTGTCTCTGGATTTGCTGTTCTCATCTTCTGTCCGTGTGGATCATAGAGGATGTGATGTCTGTGAGTAGCCACCTGTTTTTAGGGTAGTTTTCAAGGCCCATCTGTGTTGTAGGCTGTGGCTCATTCCTTTTTCTGGCGGGAAATTGCACATCCTGCTTCTCCATTCACCCACCAGTGGACAAGGCTTTACTTCTACCTTTGGGCTGCTGTGTTTCTGTGTGGACTCTACATGGTAGCCAGAAAGCAGAGCCAGTGCCAAGCAGGTACACCATAGGTGCCTTACTTTCCATCTTTTTGGGTACATATTCTTTTATGTACACTTCTGAGCTTTGTACTATTTCAGACACTGTTAAAACTGATAACTAATCCATAAGATAAGATTGCCAAACACATATTCAGAGAATGATGCGGGGTGACAGATCTGACAAATGTTTTCTTTTCAGGTCCCAAGGCAGCAGGAAAATGGCATCCGGTGTTGGAGAGGTAAGTCACTTTTGGTGTCGAGAATCCTTCAAGAACTTCCTAGCTTCAAGAAGATAATTATGTCAGGGGATTCCAGCACAGAGAAAAACCCTGTGATCTTGACACCCAAACCAAGGTCACAAAGGTGAAAGGGTAGAGAAGAGCTTCACAAACTCTCCAGGTAGCCTGGTAAATCTGAATCAACCAGTTCAACTCCCAGCCTTGCATTTTAATAAACACAGGCCATGAGGCCATGCCCTTTGCCAGTCTGAGCCTCAGTTTCCTTAACTGGAAGATGATGGAAAGGTTCCTTACCGCCCCTTTCCTGAGGAACTGTGAGAAGGATGAGACAGTGGTCTCCAGGCACCAGGTCATTTCTGAGCCTGTTGGGCCTTTTCCTGACCACTCCTTTTTATAGGTAAGGAAACTCTGGCACAGGGAAATAGAGCCACTCACTCAGGCCCACACAGCTAGAAAGTGGCAGAAATGGGATTTCAACCTGGCCTGATGCCAAAGCAAGGATCTTGCCCCCTGTATTGTGCAGCCATCTGTAGCAGGGCTGATAAAATTCTGTCCTTGATATCTGGGGTGCCAGGCTCTTAGGGGCACAGGTGGCAAGGTGGAGAGGAAGTGTTGGCTTCCCGTTCTGTGTTCATGTGAAGGTTCTGCGGGCCCAGCCAGGGCGAGCTGTGTGTGATGGTGTGAGGAGCTCGTGGTAGCAACAGCGTGTGTGGGGCACAGTCCCCAAAGCCAGTGTGGGTCAGCTGGACCAGGGAATGACAGCAATGGAGAACTCGGATTTCCTCACAATCCTGAGCCCGATGCCACAAAAGTCCAAGCATAGTAAGAAAGTTGGTTTCCAAGAAAAGCAGTTAGAAATAGTGCAGACATGCCGGGCATGGTGGCGCACGCCTATAATCCCAGCACTCGGGAGGCTGAGGCAGGAGGATCGCTGTGAGTTGGAGACCAGCCTGGACCACATAGTGAGTTCTAGGTCAGTCTCAACTACAGAGTGAGAGCCTGTCTCAAAAAACAAACAAACAAAAGAAAAAGAAATAGTGCAGACAGCAGAGCGTGGAGGCACATGCCTATAATCCCAGTGCCCTGGGAGGCTGAGGCAGCAAGATTGCTGTGAGTTTGAGACCAGCCTGGGCTACATAGTGAGTTCCAGGTCAGTCTCAACTACATAGTGAGACCCTGTCTCAAAAAACCAAAAAAAAAAAAGTGCAACAGTTCCTTGTTTTGCAGTTCTCTACTAAGTCAGGCAACCAAAAGTCATATAGAGGGCTGAGGATTTAGCTCAGTGGTGCCACTACCTGCCTCGCAAGCACAAGGTCCTGAGTTCGATCTCTGGTACATAAAACAAAACAAAAATCATATAGAAAGGCTGGCTGCTGCTTGCCTTGTGGACCCCAGCATACTGTATTGAGTATTATCACAGAGCTGGATCACTCCCTACAACTGTTCTGGGGAAAAATTGAGTTCATATCAGGAATCATAAAAGTGTTCATATTGAATCCTTGTTATCTAGCTAATAAGAAAAGAAATAATCCATAAAAACAAAAAAGGTGAGGCAGGAGGATCACGTGTTCCTGCAAAAAAAAAAAAACCCAGACAAATTTATGGCAGCAGATACTGAGTACATTGGATGTTAGCTGCTGTTTGTTGTAGATGCACTGTTATGTACAAATGAAGTACTTGGTGAGATAAAATGACACAAGGTTGAAGCACACCCATTGAAAGGCATATCTACCTTTCAGAGATGTTAATAGTTGAGAAAATGTGCTTTTAGAATTGGTGATATAGATGCTGAAAATGAGATGCCATCAAAGTGCAACAATAAGACCATCTGATTGCTTGGAAAGTGTCTTGGCCTTGAAGAGGTGTAAGTTGGAGGGCCCAGGATTTAGCTCAGTGACACCACACCTATCTCAAAAGTGCAAGGTCCTCAGTTCAATCCCCATTACCTGAGAAAAAGGCAAAAGTCAAGCGCCTGTAACTGTGGGCAAAAGATGCAGATTTTCTGTGGTCTCCGACTGTAATCCTGAAGTTGCAGATTTGAGAAGTAGTTAGATGGCAGAGAAGCTGGGTGTGTGAGTTGTTATGAATGTGTTTCTCTTTCTTTTGCTCACATTTCACATTAGTAACACTAAAGAAATGGATGTGGGTGTGGATCTCTTCCCTGGGGTGAATAACAGGTAAAGGTAGGGAGTCTGAAGGAGACGGGCAGGTGCCAGGGTGTAGAGAGAGACTCGTGCAAGCCTGGACTGGGCTCAGAAGCTGCAGGGGCAGTGGGGCCCAGAATGCAGAGCCTTCTGAGGAAGCAGCTTGGGGATCCCCGTCACCACAGTGGTGTGGCGTTGCTGGGGACCTGGGAGGATGGGCAGGGCCACTGGGGGGCAAATAGCCTGGTCAGAAAACGCGTTCTTTTTCATGCTTGACCCTTGTCAAGTGCATTGTGTTTTGAGAAGGTTGTTTTCACAGCTTTGCTTCTAGAGCTTTCCTACTTTTGTGATAGAACAGCTGTGTTTGAGAAGTCGATAAGGCAGTCACAGTAATCACAGATTCACAGTAGCCATTTCAATGGAAATGGGCTCAACCCGCTGTGGACACCTGCCCTCCGTGGAGTCCCTCTCTGAGCCTCAGTTTCCCTGTCTTGTAAAATGGGAACAACAGTGCCAGGGCACACGGCAGTGGTGGGGGTTAAAGGAGACTGCACACAAGTCCTTAGCAAGGTGCTTGGCCACGGCCACCACCATAGCCATAGGAGAGACGTAAGTCTGGTCCACGTAAGTAGCTGGAGGAAGATTGGGCGCTGTCCATGGCTGCGGCTGCGGTCTCCATCCTGAGGGCAAGCTGGCTTTGGCCCTTCGGGTGACCCGAACCCTAGTGCGTGTGCCCCACGCGGCAGCCTGAGGCCTGGTGTGCTTCACCGCCTGCGGCCCTGTGGCTCCTGTCACCAGGTGACTCCTATGAGCTGTGAGTCAGTACCAGGCTGCACAGGCCATCGCCCCACCGAGGCTGGTTGGGTCGGGAATCTCCAAGTCCAGGACAGGGGCATTTGAAACCCTCCTGCTGATTCCACCGTGCAGTGGGCATCAAGAGCGCGCTTCCCTTGCTAAGCAGTGTGAGGCCAGGCGTGTTCACATGGGCTCCCACCGGAGGACGGGAACTGACTGGGCAGCCAGGTTGGAGTCCCGGCTCTGTTTCTCTTGGGCCGTGTGACCTGGGGTTCATCACTTGGCCTCTCTGTTCCCTGTTCTTCACTGGTAAATGGAGACAGTTTCAGGACCCACCGCACGGTGCAGATGCATGGGCTGTGCCCAGAGCTGTTAAGACCGCAGGTGCTCGGGATGGCGGTGATGGTCTACACTTTTCACCCCTGTGAACGCGGCTTCACACCCATGGCTCCAGGGTGGCAGCTGCTCTCTGGAGTCAGAGGGAAAGGAGGTTGAGGAGCACAGTTCTGGGGGGACTGGGCCACCAGGTAGGCACCTTGGCCCTAAGCCCCCTCCTGCCAGAGCCAGTCAGCCGGCTCGGGGCTTGTTTTCATGAACCTCAAACTTCCTCCCCACCCTAGAGAAGGAACAATTTCTACGCTTATTTAAAGACTTCCCTGACCTTAAAAATAGGCCTTCCTCAGAACACACAGCCCGTTGGTGCGGGGAGCTGTGGGCAGGTGGCTCCTGTGTCCCGGAGAGGAGAACTCGGCCGAGGGGCTCATTCCACCCGCTGCGTGTGCGCTGGGAGCCCGAGGTCTGCTAGGCACAGGGGTCCTGGCGTGACAGGACCTTCCCAACCTGCACCCTGGGTGCTCAGTCAGGGGTGACAAACCCCAGGGGTGTAGGGCCCATGAGCATGCAAGGGGGAGGCCTGGGCAGCCCCCCCTGAGCTAAGATGCTTGGGAGGGCCCTGAGGGATGGAAGAGAGATAGCAAGGTAGAAGGCATGAGGCGTTCCAGGCAGTGGAGGCTGCATGTGCAAAGGGCCTGGGGCTGGAGGAGCCCAGCTACCACAGAGCCTGAGTGGACAGGGACCACATGGCCAGAGTGGGGAAGTGTGGAAGTGAGTCAGACAGGCAGAGCCCCAGCAGGCAGAGCAGATGTTGTCTCTGGAAGGCGTCTGGCTCTTTACTTTTTAAGAACAATGGGAAAACGAAGGTGAATTTTAAACACAGGACTATGTCCCAAGCCCACGCAGCTTTAGGGCTTCAGCAGGAGGCTCCTGAGGGTCCGGCATATCTGTGTACTCGTGGCAGGGTGAGGGCCATAGCGAGCTGGGCGCCAGCTTCCAGAGTGCTCCCCAGGGGCCTGCTTGGGTCCCTCCTGCAGTGAGCAGTGATGTGTTACGTGTTGGTGACCAGAGAGGCCCCCTGGGGGCTCAGCATCCAGAGTTTTACCAGGGGCTGTCACATAGGCCGACTCTCCAAAGGGGAGAGGCAGGGGTCCAGCATACATCACGCTGTTGAAGGTGGTCTGGGGTTGGAGTGTCCTTCCCGGGGGGACCGCCATGTACGCCGGTGGTCACAAGGCTCTGCAGTGTGACTGTGCATGATGTGTTTATGACAGACTTTGAGGCTGTTTCTGGTCTGGGGCTGATGAAGCAGGGTGCAGCAAGCAGCAGCACACATGTGTGAGTCTCTTTCCGGTCCAATAATAAGGACCTTTTCTTTTTTTTTTTTTTTTTCCTTTTTTTTTTTAATTAAGACC